ATATACATACACACATACCTACATATGAACACATACATATGTACATATGTACATGCGTTCATACATTCATACTTTCATACGTTCATACATCCATACCTTCATTCATTCGTACATTCAGACATTCAGACATAGGTTCATTCACTCACTCATACATCATACATCATCTATCATACAGCATACATCATGCATCGTACATCATATACCATGCATTATACATCATACATCCTGCACCACCTATCATGCTCCATGCACCATACCATGCATCATACATCATACATCATACATCACACATCATAAATCATACGTCATCCATCCATCCATCCATCCATGCTTGCTTGCTTGCATACATTTTCTGCACGCACCGAGACGTGCTCACATAGCTTGTGAAGGAGAACAGTGTGGTTGCGGCGCCTCGGTTCGGCGCGTACGTTGTGTCCAATGGTCAGTCACGAGTGACAGCGGCCGAAGGTCCTACATCAGATTGATAGTGGTGCGCACCTCCGTGCTCCATTCACTGGCGCCATAGAACGTGGCCCGAACTGATACGGACTGTTTGGTAACTGTTCACACTATCGACTGCAAAGTCACCGAAGTCGTCATCCCGGCACCGATGCACTGTCGGGATGTGCAACCCTTGTTGTGGACACCATTGCGCGAACACCTCCATCTGTCAAGGCTGGAGAGGAGGCAGTGAAGAGATGCCACACAAGCGTGGGGGGAGTCCATCGAACCTGCGCTCCTATCTACTCGGGAAACTGCACCCTACTCACTTCTCCCAGGTTCCAGATTGGCCACTGCTTCACGGTCGGCCGCAGCTGTATGGCTATGGCAAGTCTGGCACACAGTCGTTTTTCCGTTGATGTGGTGAAGAGCCATGTTGCTGACAGCCGCCTGTTGTACACCTCAATGGCGGAGGACGTGCGGAACGGGGAAATGTAGACGCGAGGTGCACCTTACCCGTCGTGATGTTTCACTGGGTAGTCCACGCAAGCAGGGTGACGATTAACTCCTGACGTCATTTCACAGCGCGCTTCGGTGGTGCGACCGGGGAAACTTCATTCCCCTTACGGAGTAAGCGGATCCCACACATAGTCTCCTTCCTGGCGCCCTGCTGATGCACGCGGGGGCCTCGCTCTCACGGTAGCAGTAGCCATCTACCCATCGTGCCTCGATCGACGTCTGGTAACGTCTGCGTATGCATCCGCATGCCTCCCAAGAGAAATGCCCAGCGACCCAGCAAGAGACCATTGACGAGCCGCTTCAGCAGCTTCCACGCCGAGACTATGTGGCATCGAGGGTCTAAAGCAAGACTGGTATGTGGCAGGAAGCAAGCATTATGCACATGGAGTTGGGCGTGTGACCAGCACGTGGGAACAGGCACGATTGCGAAAGAGCCCGGTCCACAACCAGAGGCTGCTGCCGGAGCTCACATGGTGATCTGCAAGCTTCAGATCATACTGCTGGCTGATAGGAGAAGTAACGCTAAGACCCCTGCCAGAACCAAACCACAGACCAGCAAAGGAATGCTGAACCGTTTCAAGAAGATGCAATCCATGTTCCGCCCATCGAACACATACAGGCCAGCTGTGTACATAGCCAACCACGGCAGGCATTGTTGAGGCATCTTCAAGAAATTCATGCTTTCGTTTTATCAACAATGGCTAGAGCCCGAAGCATTCCAGACAGTACAAACGAACAAACATTTTGATGTTGACGCTCAGTGCAGTCGTCAGCTGTGAACGCGCCCCAGCATTGCGTGGACCCATCACTCATCGCGAAACTTAAACCACTATGCGAAGCTGAAGCCGCTGAGGGCTCTACGAAGCCACAAGTCAAACAACTGTTCAGTTTTCAGGGTTGGCATGGAAGCCCAGCCAAACCTCCAGTGGCTGGCAGACGTTGCATGAAGATCTCTTGCAGTGTGACTCTGGGCTCCACTGGGCAACTATGCTTTACGCGATGCGAAACTCCTTTGGTGATGATGTAAAGGGAGCGTCAATTCAAGACCACATCACTCGGCAGCAATGCTACACCTCGCTTGCGGAACCAAGTCAAAGCTGCTTGGAAAGTTCTCAAATCCTCAGCGAAATCATATGCTTCAAAAGGCACATCACAAGCAGCTCGCATGCGGAAACAAGGCCGTCGATACTTTCCATGGCCTGAACTTATGAATGTTGATGGGCGGTCGAATCCTAGCTGTATGGATAAAGTTCACAAGCATTTCGGCAAACGAAGTGTTTCCATGCTCATGGTGCTCAACCCACAGTAGCTGCTGAGCCCACTCAAAAAGAGTCTTGCCAAACTCTTCAGTGTACGGAAAGGAATCTAGGATCGAAGCTTCCATCACTGCCAAATGGCGAAAAGCATGACCCACGCACATCCAGCACTGAAGCTTCAATCTGGGACTGTCTCCGCACGGCTCTGAGCTGGAGCGCTGCGCACTCAGCGAGGAACGAGTGAAATCGTGCAGATCTGCAGTTGCTTGCTGTGTAAAGCTTGTAACTGTGCGAAGGATACCAACCTTGATTGTTTGACGGCCTCCTTTGCCGCTGCATCTGCCAGCGCGTTGTAATGGCAACAGAGTTTTTCAAAATGATCTGCGTCATCATCAAATGACTTGTGTGCTTTAACTTTAACCACATCAACCTGGCCGAAAGGCCTGCTAGCAATGATATCGTGAAATAACGTCCACAGGTCATCATGCTCCATGTGTGGTGGCTTCTGTCGAGCCTGCACGATGCTCATGCGAATGTTGGCAGTTTCAACCACACAGTTGCAATCACTGTGCACAGTGCACTGGACGGACTGTTGGGCCCTGAGAATCAAACCCAAAATCTCGGCTCGAGGACTGCTTCGCACCAGCCCAGGCAAAGGGCAGCTGACCACACAACCATCCCCAAAACAATCCATGTCGGCTACCACAGCAGCAGCCGCAACCGAAAACAAACGATTTTCTGGGAAAAAGCACGAGCCATCAACAAAGACGTGGACGTGTCCGCACAGTGCACGGAATGCAACACGGACCACGAGTCAACAACGACAGGACTGAGTGCGAGTTTCCAATCTGTTTCAGGCAAACTTCCGAGCAAGCGGAAAACATCCTGGTACACGACACGCAAGTGCTCATTTGCTGGGCACTCAAAGACGCGATGGTGACGGGAATCCTCAGCATCACAGTTCGGGCATTTCGTTGGCCTAGCCGTATCCCACTTAGAGACAATGTCACTCGTAAAGTGCACTCCGTGCACATACAGCCACCCAACCGGCCATGCATACATGCATCCATACATCCATAGCCCATACCACCATACATCCATAAGTGTATACATCCATCCGTCCATGCATGATGCATGCATGCACATGCATGGACTTACATACTTACAAACTTACCCACGTCCATCCATACGACGATGCATGCATGCATGGCCATGCATGATCACGCATGTATAGAAAGACAAACAGACATAGCTACGCACACGTACATACATACAGACAGACAGACATGCATGCATCCATGCAACCATGCAACCATGCAACCATGCATCCATGCATGCATAAATCACTACACACCCACTCAACATGTCTGTAGTTTTGCATTGGTGGCCTTCATCAGCCTGGTTTGCGGCACTCTCCTATTTACTCAATACATACCATCATAAAGTACATGCACATATACAGAAATATGTACATATATCTATATATGTATATCATCAAGGCATTACAAGCCACGTGTTGTTCCAACAGCATCTACAGTCAAACAAATATTGCTGAGCGCTTATATACGTACAACATGTGTAAACCGGCAAACATATATGTATGTGTGTGTACAGGTGTATATCTATGTACATCTGTGTACATAAGAATACACACATATGTACAAGTGTACGTGTATATATATATACACATACATACCTATATATATACATATATATATATACACACATTATGCTGCATGAAGATAGAGTGCACATTTCCACGGCGTGTATGCATATAATATACATATATATATATATATATATATATATAGATATATATATATATATATATATAGATATATGTATATATATATATATAAATATATAGATATATATATATACAGATATATATATATATAGATATATATATATATGTGTACGTACATATATATGTATACATATCTAAGTCTATGTATACATATAATCTCTACATATGTGCGCCTTTTGGCATGAGCCGCTGAGATTCTTTATTACTTTATGGCACCAATGTCATTAGCCGTTATCAGCGTATGATGTGAGCTGTTTGAAGTTTTCAAGTGTATAACAACTACATGCAGTAGTGTTGCGTGGATATTGCCTTCACCTCTGGCCAACCAAGCCGCAATATAATTTCACAATCAGTCTTCGGTTGGACATTAGCACGTACGCTTCAATAGTCATCGCTTTTCCAAAGGGTTTAAAGTTCACGGCTTGCAAGGTGTCATGGACACAGCTAAGAAAAAGACAGGCTTTTGGGCCCACTCGGTTCAAGAGGCTTGGACTAAGGGTTCGCGCTCTTGCTTGATTGAGCATGCTTGAGCAGGACATGCTTGAATCCTGTGGCATGTCATCGCGTCTTGATACAACTTGAGGTGCCAAACCGTTTTCCTTTCGTGCCTGCTTTAGCGGATCTTTCGCGGACTCTTTAAACCCTGTCAAATGGCCAGCTTTTTACAAACCGTTGACACAGACCTTTAGAACAACCCTCACACGAACGGTGCCCAGATTGATCGGGCTTTCTTCTTCCAACGAAAATTGATTACTTGTTCCAACAATACTCGAGGTAAGTGTAATGGATAGACTCAGAATAGATTTTGAAAAATTATCAATATGATACCACATAGTCCGGATGATACAGCACTAGACAGGTTCCCATGTTGACGGCCTGCACTCTTGTTGTCGGATGAAGGGCTGAAAGAATGCATAGCACTGCATAGCTGTATGAGCAAAATGAAAGAGAAAACCCTCCTTCTACTGCCACGGCACCGACTCCTCGTCAAACCTTGCCCAGCCCATGTCGCCGGACTCGTCAGGCACCTCTCCGAGATTGCAATTCGGGGATCTGTGGCTCTCACGGGCACTCTCCTCGGCTGGGAGCGCCATGGCATGAACCGGCTCACATTCGACAGGCGACGCATATAACGAGCAAAGCTGAAGATGACTAGCCTAAGTGCTGCACATGTGCAAAAACTAGGGACTGGATTAAAGTTCTGCAAGTGTGGTCAGATGTATCATACAAACCACCATTGACGCTGCTTCGAGCAAAACAAACTTGTGGCGCAGTCTGGCAGGTGGTCGACATTGAACTTCCAGGTGCCGGCAGACGCTCTTTTGTAACTCTGCATAAGACATGGCCGGGTCATGTTGAACCAGCTGCATTGTCCGGCCGTCGACAACTGCCAAACGGGCAGTTTGCCTTCAGCCGCTCCACCGGTTTGCAATTGCTTCAGCAAGCATTGGCCTGACAGCTACCAGAAGGACCGAAGAACTGAGAGCAGAAACAAACCGTGCACACACTCCCACGTCATCCCAGAGGCACCTAGCTGCACCTGCGAGGTCCACGATGGGACTCAGCTGCCGTCCGACGCCCTGGCCACCAGCAAAGGGCAAAACATGACCGAGCTTGAGCTAGGGCAGACGTGGTAGCCTCGAGCACGATGATGCTTGTTCTGGGTATTCCGGCTCTCTCGCTCCGCTGCTCCGCTCACTGGGTGCCGGAGGCTTGGTGCCGGACGCTACTGTGACAAAGCTGGTTTCCAACTTCACTCGATGCTCACAAGCAAGCCTCGGTCTCGGAAGCACAAGCTAGCAGGCCCCTGGCATCCTAGCGGTCCTAGCGGTCCCAGCATTTGCTGTTAAGGCAAGGCCATGGCGACAGCAGTTGCCCAAAGCACTCCCCTAAGCGCACCTGCATCAACGACATTCGCACGAGCACTGCTTCTGTCGAGAGACAAAGGTGCCTTCCCAAGAGCAAAGCCCTTGCCGCAAACTTCGCTCACGAGACTGCCAACCTCTGCCTTGGAGTGACTTCCCCTTGCGACACTGGAGCCCAGGACTTCTAAGGCCCGAGCAACGAATCCAGCCTCGTCTCCTGAAAGATTCTGGCTGCATTGCGTTCATGATCACCGGGGTCCCCGCTTGCCGCCAAGACACGCACGAGGGAGCGATCGCCGGGTGTTCGCTCAACCTCTATCGACGGCGAGAATCGATCAAGTCAATCAAGTCATCCTGCACTTGGCTCAGTTCTGGGCCATAAGTTGTGCAGCCCGCCTGCCATCGTTGGTGGTCAGCGCCTTGCCGAGGCGAGCAAGGCGACATCTGAGGTCTGCGCAGTAAAGAATGAGGAAGCTGCATAGAAGACGTCCGTGAAATTCCGTCGGTCCTGTCGCGCAGGGCTCTTCGAGTATAAGGCCGAAAGACCTGGTTTCTGTTGCCACGCTAGGGCTGTTTTAGGATCACATGAAGCGGCGGTCGAAACATGGCAAGATTTGGGTCAGAGTTGGTTGCATTAATCGTGGCATCTTAGTTGGACGTTGCAATTGCGCTTTCTTTCCCAATCAAACGAGGAGAAGAAGTTAGCGAAGTTGTCAGATTATTCGGAAAGTTGCTGATGTCGGCAGTTCAGCAGAATAGAGGCAGAATAAACATTTCAGCAGGGTTGCCATGAAAGGACATGCGAGGCTCACTTCCTATCTAAAACAGATATGAAGCCTTGTGCGTTCGGCTCAAAAAGCGCTCGCCTGCGCAGACATTTGCACAGCCAGGCCGGCATCCAAAATCACCTTCAGCCAGCAATGTGCTGCCCAAGATCATGTTCAGTTGTACCATCTGAGCCACTAGCAAGCTCTGACCGCAAGAAATGGCCGGAGTCCTTCAAAGTACTATTGTCGTCCGGCGGTGCATGCTGGAATCGGCTGCTCAGGCTGGAGCTGTGCCAACCCGACGTCTCTGGAAATGAATGTTTCCGGGATGAAGATCCTTCTGAACTAGCCGAATCACACAACAAACCAAGGCCAACGACTGTTAAACTGGCCAGCTGACGGCATGGATGAAGTTATCCTTGAACAGCATTTGGAGGAACCTGAGCAGGAGATGCTTGCTGCCGTTGAACCGTGCGTGGCTCGTCCCAGATGTCAGCGTTGCGATCGGGACGCACATCCATGCACAGTCCTCCCACCTTGGCACCAGAACTGAGTGCCGTGTCTTGCGACGTGCCTCTTCTACTCCACGACACCACTAGCCAAACTCTTGACAATGCCATGATCCAAGTTAGCCACTGCCTACGAACCCTACCTTGATTAAGCGTTCATTCGCGCAGCGAATTCTCTGGTGCATTGTTCTTGGGGGCTGTCGGTGGTTTTTTGGCTTTGGCTTCACCGATCATACACAACCTGCCACACTCAATACCATTCAATTGGATGAAGCCTTTACCGTCTCAAACTGTGGCGCGGCTTGCATCTACATCCAAGCAGCTTGGAAGAGAAGCAACATGTACAGGGACAAGGCTACTTCCGAACCGCCTTTTTTTTTGCGATTGAACCATCATCTGGACATGACAACAGCCACAGGCACGGCGTACAGTTTGCGCTGGAACAAGAAAGACTCGTTGGAGATGGGGGGGAATTATGCATGCAGATAAGCACCTTCACAGTACGTACCATGGGAAGCTGAGAAATGCGAGCACATGTGGCAGGAGCGGGTGCGCATCTTCTCTCCTTGCTCCTTTCGTATTGTTGTCTCTTCAACGCATGACTAATCTATTTTTGGCATTTGCTCCCATGTTTACTTTCTGAAGCCCGTTCCCCCATTAGGTTGTTATGTTGACCATAGTTCTTAAACTCGCCACCTCTCATAAGGCGATTGTGACAGATCACCGACTTCAAGCCCCGCTTCATCAGACAATGGCTGTTAATCGCAGTTCCTGGCCCGCCGCCTCATCAAGCCTTCGTGGTTGATCACATGTTTTAAACCCTCCGCCTCATGAGGCGATGGCGGCTGATTCGGCGGTGGATCACGTTTCCGAAGCCCGCCCCATCAATAGGCGATGGCGGCGGATGATCAGACTTGTCAGCGCACTCACTCTAGCCGATGCCGCCTTGACAAATTCTGGTCAACCGGCCCCATGACTGGGCGATTGCGGTCAATCGCACTTCCCAAACCCGCCCCCTCATTCGGCGATGGCAGGCGAGTGGTCATGTTTCTTAACCCGTCCTCTTACCAGGCAATACCGACTGAACGCTATCTTGAGGCCCGGCCCCTTAAAGGGTGATGGCACTTTATGACATGTATTGAACCTTGTCTCCCATGTGGCGACGGTGGTTGATCACAGGGTTAGTAGCCCGATTTTTCATGAAGTGATGGTTGTTGATCATGCGTCCGAAGCCCACTCCCTCATTAGGCCATGGCGGTTGATCACCACATGTCCTGAACACCCCCTTCATTGGCGACGGATGGCGACGGCAGTTGCCCACAGTGTTTCAAAGCGAGGGCGCACGCGAAAGCATTGAAATTTCCCCAGGGGGGCGGCGGCAACACGAACATAGCAGCGGTTGCAGCAGCAGCAGCAGCAGCAATAGTCCATATATGTAATACTGGAAATCGCGGTTGGTGGATCATACGCCGTGGAAGGCAGAACATCAAGGGGGGGTGCAGGGACTACCATCGGTAGTCGGAGGAATTACAGCAGGACAACTACGGAAATGACTGGAAGCGGGACAACAAGGGAGTGGTGGAGAGAGGGAGGGGCAAAACATTCAGCAGGGAGTGGAGGGACCGCACAGAGGTGGGGGGTGGGAAGGGGACACCGGGAAGGGGCAGGGCCAGAGTCAAAGGGGATGGGAGAGTCGGAGGGGTGGGGAGGGGAGGCGCGGGCAATGGGGTCTATGGACGCAGAAAAGTGAGGGGAGGGCAAGGCATTACCATTACGATGACCATGACCATTACCATGACTTTTACTTTCATTCTTACGCTTATTCTGACTGTGAGTCTTACTCTTAAAATCTTACTTGTACCATGAACTTTTACTATTTCTTTTTTTCAAACGCGTAAGGCTTTTCGAAACGAACCCATCAGCACCGACGTATCTTAATTCAATTACTGGTCGCTTAAATTTCCGGTCCTTGGGGGGTTTGCGAACGACTTTAGCCCAAAACTGACGGTCTTGGCATCTGGGATGCACTTGACGGAAGAGAGGAGTGTTATCCATCCAAACTAAGCCCGAGGAGCTGTGGGAATTTGCGATGCTCTGGTGTGTAGGAAGATCGTAAAAGGCATGTGTTATGAGTTCATGCGTAGGTGCAGCGTCCGAAAGGAGGTAATCGATGCGCTGCGCCGCCTGCGTCATGCAAGAGTCTGCCCAATGAACTTTGGGGCTACCGGGTCTATTAGGGGCCCTTATATGTCTATCAGCATGAGAGCTCATGTAAATAAATCTATTCTCTATTGATTTTGGGTGACGATGTATGTGACTAAACAGCTGTAATCGCTGTTGCGAGCAAAACTGACAAGGAGTGGTGACCTTACGGGTCTGGTAGGCCAGAAGGCTCCAAGACTCTGTGGTAAGAGGAAGATTTTTTTTGAAGATACGCCTAAGTGACTTATACTGTGTTGCATCAAGTTTGCGTATTTGGGGAGAGGTGAGCAAAACACTGTCCATAGCATAAGTGAGAAGAACCAAAAACATGGATCTGTAACCAGTGAGTTTCCAAGTAGGGGCAAAACAGGAGTGAGAGAGCAGAGGCTTAAGTTTAAGGAGTTTCGAAGCCGAGACGGCTTGGGAAGCGCGGTAAAATGTGTTTTTGCCCCACATCACTGTGTGGGGTTCTTACTTTTTGGGGCTGTCCCGCCGCCTCCTCCTCCGCCTCCTCCGCCGCCTCCTCCTCCGCCTCCTCATCCTCCTCCTTCGCCTCCTCCTCATGATGCAGACACACACACAGACACAGACACATGCACACACACAGATGTACAGACACAGACACACACACACACACACATGTACACACAAGACCCCGGCCTGCTCTGGCCAAGGCCGCGCGCGCGCTGGGGGCGAGACTCTTCCGCGACTAAAGACCCTCCCGGGCCTGCTGTGGCCAAGGCCGCGCGCGCCCTGGGGGCGAGACTCTTCCGCGACTAAAGACCCTCCCGGGCCTGCTCTGGCCAAGGCCGCGCGCGCGCTGGGGGCGAGACTCTTCCGCGACTAAAGTCTGGGGCCTGCTCTGGGGGCGACTCTTCCGCGACTAAAGACCCTCCCGGGCCTGCTCTGGCCAAGGCAGCGCGCGCGCTGGGGGCGAGACTCTTCCGCGACTAAAGACCCTCCCGGGCCTGCTCTGGCCAAGGCCGCGCGCGCCCTGGGGGCGAGACTCTTCCGCGACTAAAGATTTTCCCGGCCTGCTCTGGCCAAGGCCGCGCGCGCCCTGGGGGCGAGACTCTTCCGCGACTACAGAGGCAAGACCGCACGCGCCCTGGGGGCGAGACTCTTCCGCGACTAAAGACCCTCCCGGCCCGCGCCCTGGGGGCGAGACTCTTCCGCGACTAAAGACCCTCCCGGGCCTGCTCTGGGCAAGGCCGCGCGCGCCCTGGAGGCGAGACTCTTCCGCGACTAAAGACCCTCCCGGGCCTGCTCTGGCCAAGGCCGCGCGCGCCCTGGGGGCGAGACTCTTCCGCGACTAAAGACCCTCTCGGGCCTGCTCTGGGAAAGGCGGCTGCGAGACTCTTCCGCGACTAAAGACCCTCCCGGCCTGCTCTGGCCAAGGCCGCGCGCGCCCTCCGCGACTAAAGACCCTCCCGGGCCTGCTCTGGGCAAGGCCGTGCGCGCGCTGGGGGCGAGACTCTTCCGCGACTAACGACCCTCCCGGGCCTGCTCTGGCGACTAAAGACTCTCCCGGGCCTGCTCTGGCCAAGGCCGCGCGCGCCCTGGGGGCGAGACTCTTCCGCGACTAAAGACCCTCCCGGCCTGCTCTGGCCAAGGCCGCGCGCGCAGACACACACAGACACACACACAGACACACACACACACACACACACACACACACACACACAGACACACACACAGACACACACACACGACACACACACACACACACACACACACACACACACACACACACACACACACACACACACACACACACACACACACACAGACACACACACAGACACACACACACACACACAGACACACACCGACACACACCGACACACCCCGACACACACCGACACACACCGACACACACAGACACACACAGACACACACAGACACACACAGACACACACAGGACACACACAGACACACACAGGACACACACAGACACACAGAGACACTCACACACACAGACACACACAGGACACACACAGACACACAGAGACACACACACAGACACACACAGACACACACAGACACAGACAGACACACACAGACACACAGACACGCAGACTCGCAGACACGCAGAGACGCAGACACGCAGACACACAGACACACAGACACAAAGACACACAGACACACAGACACGCAGACACGCAGACACACAGACACACAGACACAAAGACACACAGACACACAGACACGCAGACACCCAGACACCCAGACACAAAGACACACAGACACACAGACACACAGACACACAGACACCCAGACACACACTCACACACTCACACACTCACACACTCACACACTCACACACTCACACACTCACACACTCACACACTCACACACTCACACACCCACACACACACACACACACACACACTCACACACACTCTCTCTCTCTCTCTACACTCGCACACCACACATGCACACATCATACACCCTACACCCACGTACGCACTCACAGCAGCACTCACTCATTCGTTCACTCACACACTCATTTACTCCGTCACTCATTTACTCTTCTGCACCTTTGTGTTCTATATGAATGGATGATCTTCACATGTGGGGTTATCCGGCCCTTCAATTACGATTGTTGTTGGAGGGGTCATGGTATACCCCCAAATATTTAACCTCATCGGATAAAGGTACTGAGGTGGGTGGGGGATGAACCCCACCGCAGTGTTTGCATTGACAAGGAGTTGCCACTTGAGGGTCATAATCAATTCGATGGGAGGAATGTAAGCGTAAGTGCTTACATTTATCAACATTGAGTATGAGCCCGTCGGAGTGCCATGTCCAAGTCATGCATCGTG